GCACCTTTAGTGCTGGGTTCAGTTTTGGGCCCCTCACTCCAAGAAGGACATGGAGGTGCTGGAGTGTGTCCAGAGAAGGGCAGCGAAGCTGGGGAAGGGTCTGGAGAATGTGTGTGCTGAGTTCCTGGCTGAGGGAACTGGGGTTGTTGAGCCTGGAGAAAAGGAGGTTGAGGGGAGACCTTCTGGCTCTGTCCAAGTCCCTGAAAGGAGGGTGGAGAGAGGTGGGGGTGGGTCTGTTCAACCAAGGACTAAGTGACAGGACAACAGGAAATGGCCTCAAGTTGTGCCAGTGGAGGTTTAGATTGGATGTGAGGAAAAACTTCTTCGCCAGAAGGGTAGCCAAGTATTGGAATAGGCTGCGCAGGGAGGGGGTGGAGTCACCTTCCCTGGTGGCATTTAAAAGACAGGTAGATGAGGTGCTTAGGGACATGGTTTAGAGGTGGAATTGGCAGTGTTTGGTTTATGGTTGGACTTGATGCTCTTAAAGGTTTTTTCTAATCACTATGATTCTGTGATTTAATTTTTTTAATTTTTTTTTTTAGCAGAGCCTGTAGCAATAGGACAAGGATAAATGATTTTACACTAAAATAGGGGAGGCTTAGACTAGATGTAAGGAAGAAATTTTTGACGCTGAGGGTGGTGAGACACTGGCCCAGGTTGCCCAGAGGTGTTAGAAGCCCCATCCCTGGAAACATTCAAGGTCAGGTCAGACAGAGCTCTGAGCAATGTGTTCTAGTTGAAGATGTCCCTGTTCACTGCAGGGAGGTTGGGGTAGATGGTGCCTTTAACTGTCCCTTCCAACCCAAACCAGTCTGTGATTCTATGAAGAGCCCAGGTACAAATCACACACCCACCACCTCAGGTGGAACAGAGGTGCCAGCACTGAAAGCTGATGCTGGCCCTTCCGTTCTGTAACCATTTCTCAGCCCCACAGTACCAGGGCTCTGTGCTCACTGACACCTCAACCACACCAGAGCCCAGCTCCAAAATGGAGCCCAGCACACTGTGCAGGGTGAATGGGAGGGGGAGGTGCACGCTGCAGGGGGGTCCAGGTCCTGCCTTGCTGGTTCCACAAGGTGCTGGACTCTTCCCTGACCCGTGCACCCTTAAACTGGAAGCACTGGGATCATCTTAGAGCTGGTCACCCTTGAACTTGGAGCACCAATCACCCCACCCCAAACTGAGGTTGTGCCAAATCAGGAATGTTAACAATGCTGGGAATCCCCAAACTGGGATCCTCCACCAAGCTGCACCTAAACTGGGCTGCTTACACTGGGAGCACAGTGGGATCCCCCCACACCTGGACTATCCCTTAGTGCAACTACTGAGAATCCCCATGTTCCCACTCAGCCCAGACCAGTAGTGCCCAATGGCACCTGTTGACACAGGCCCACAAAGCACCTTAAGCTGGGGGCACCCCCCCGACAATGCCTGAGGGGGGATGGTGTTGCAGCCCCCCAGCTGCAGTGGGAGAAGGCAGGATCCCTCCCCAATTTGCACTGAAGCCCCCAGGGAACAGCTCTGTACTAGGACCAGCTGCCCACCCCTCTTCCCTCTGGACCCTACTGAGGGCTTAGTGTAGCCTCCTCCACTAGCCCCACACACCACCCACCCCAGTGAGGGGGAGAGAAGGGGGCTGCTGTGGCTTAACTCGTTTTATTTAGACTCAAAGGTAACCGCGGCCCAGCTGGACCGTGCACATGGGGCTGACACCCCGTAGAAACGCAGCAGTAGGTCAGGAGCAGGGTGGGAAGGGGTGAGCTGCAGCGGGGCAGAGAGCCCAGGCTGCTGCGGGAATGGTCAGTTGTTAAGAGGGTTTATGAGAGCTGCCCGCAGTCGGTAATGGTGATCTTCTTGCTTGTTTTGCCATCTTTGGAGCCACAGCGCTCCATGGCCTCCACCACATTCATCCCCTCCTTGACGCGGCCAAAGACGACATGCTTGCCATCCAACCTGCAGGAAAAGCAGCAGTCAAGGCTGGTGGTGCCTGTTGTCCACACATGGTGACCGTGGCACCTCCCCACCGGGGGGGGTGTTAAGGACCCCCCCTCCCACAGCCCCCCACTCACCATTCAGTCTTGGCAGTGCAGATGAAGAACTGGGAGCCGTTCGTGTTGGGGCCAGCATTGGCCATGGACAGGATGCCAGGGCCTGTGTGCTTCAGGATGAAGTTCTCATCGGGGAACTTTTCCCCATAGATGGATTTGCCACCAGTGCCATTGTGGCGTGTGAAGTCACCACCCTACAAAGAAGCAGTGCTTCGGGTCACATGCACAGGAGAAGACTCTCAAACCAGATCCAGTGACCCTGCAGAGGCTGCAGGCAGGAGACAGAGCCACTCCCCACACCCCCCCCAGAAAATCTGCCAGCACCCATCTCCTCACCCACCCACCTCCCTGCTGTGGTAGGAGCGCCACACACCTGGCACATGAACCCAGGAATGATTCTGTGGAAGCAAGATCCCTTGTAGCCAAATCCCTTCTCACCAGTGCTCAGGGCACGGAAGTTTTCTGCAAAGTAAGAGGAAAACTGTGAATGGCTTGTTTTGCCCAGAGTGAGGGAGAACATCGGG